ATTATCCAAACACCTTCAACGAGTTTTTCCATATATATAATTTTATTGCAATTTTTGTTTTCGTTTCACTGATTGAATATGGCATAACTTTGGCATATACTATATACTATATGAATATTGGCAGGCAGTTGTTGGGCTGCGCCCAAACGGCGGCCCAAAGGCGACCCATATGATGCTGTGTGTGTGTGCAAATCATTGCGCAATTTAATGGCACCAAAAGGCCACAACCACAAGACCAAACCAAAATGACGGCAACTGCAACTGCGACGACGACTGCAGCTGCGACGACTGGAACCGCAGACAAGGCATACCAAAACTTCAGTGGCCCCTTCTGACTTTGCGCCAAGTCATCTATGGAGCTTGAGCTCGGTGTCATTATGTAGGCGCAGGTATGAATATGAGTGCGACTATGAGTACAACCATATGAGTACTCAAACTATAAACATAACAATAATGCACACAAGAAAATGAAAAAGAGTCTGACTGACATTTGGCAGCCAGCCGGGGCCCAAATGTCGGCACAAGCTGCAATTTGGCCAACAAATTAAATGGCACTCGAAGCGGTTGCCTTGGTCCCTATTGTTAATTACTCAATTGCTCGCCAGACAAAGGCGAACTAGCGGCTGCCTCAGCCTCCGATTGATGTGTCCGCTTGTCTACAAAAAAATCAAGTAAGAGCTTCTAGCTCCTGACTAGGGGATACCCTGTTCCCTCTTCTTCCCACAGGCGATAGGTATAAAATAAAATATACTTGATATATATATACTATTCTATATTATTTGCCGAAATTGCTCAATAAACAGGATTCCGATATCGATTTCTATCGATAACTTTGTAACGGGGCAAGTTATCGAATATCGGAAACAAACTCGATCTGCGCGGGGACTAGGACGACCTACAGCTAAATTTTTAAGTCTCTAGCTCTTATAGGTTCTGAGATCCTTGCGTTCATACATACGGACAGACGGACAGACGGACGGACGGACAGACAGACGGACATGGCTAGATCGACTCGGTTGTTGTTGCTGATCAAGAATATATATAGAGATGCTTCCTTCTGCCTGTTACATACATTTGCACAAATACATTATACCCATTTTTAATGGGTATCATAAATCTGCATGCATTACTTTGAATTTCGTTTCATTAACGATTCAGTCGCAGATTTTCAGCAGCGCCCAAATCCGATTTGGCCACATTTCAGCTTCCGCAGTTTTGAAGGTGAGCCTAGCCTGGCTTTTTAGGCATGCCAGGCGCGTGCTAGCGCCTTTTCTGTGCGCCGTGCATGCGGTTCATTTCAATTGCCGAACAGCTGCTCAGTCACACTTTTTTTTTGGCAACAGTTGCACGAAATTTGGCGCGTGCTCGGGCCATCGTCTGCTAAGTGCGCCTAAATTCCGAATGTACAACTTGTAACATCCATTTGACATGTATTAATTAACGAGCTGCGACCTACGTAGACCTAGACCCAAACGGCAATCTTTGATCGGCATGCTCTTCAAACTAGTTTGCAATCTTAAATTGTGTACGGTATTTGCATGTCTTGTGCTTGTTCAACTTACAATTAAATCGGTTTTCAAGTCAATGTCACGCGGCGGAAACAAAAGACTTAAGACACAAACTTGCGCATGTCTATAGGTCTTTTTTTTTCCTACCATATAACGACTCATTCGATTAGAGTTTTTTGTACAAACAACTACACTTAAACCAATTTGTATTAAAGCATCTTTACAAAGCACGAAAACGAGGGAAAAAAAACAGCTTTTTTTTTTTGTTTTGATTTGTTGATCTTGGCAAGATGGCATAATTTGCATGAAAATGATTGGGATTCGATGAGGCACCGGCAAGAATTAGACACAACAGTTTCGGATCATTAGCCGAGGCGCGCGCTAGGAAAAAACCCAAATCTGTACCCTTTATATGTTTTACTTCTGGTTTTTTATTTTTTCGAGGCAATTGGAGTCTACATTAAAACTCAATTTATGAGCAGCATTAAATGCGTGTTCGGCTACGAAAAGAACAAAAAAGCAGCACACGAATTTGGCCTGGGAGGAGTACGTCACGCTGATTAGAAATCAATTTGTTGGCTGCAGACAAGTTAAGTCCCTGCAATCTGGCCTTGACCATAACACTTATAAGCTGAAGGCCTTCAAAGACACGAGTTGATTACCGTTGCCTCTGACTGTCTGTATTATTGATTTAGACGCATAAAATCCGCTGCAGAGAACCATTAATAAAAGCAAAAGCTCAATAAAACCGAGAGGGTCTTGAACTCTATTGAAGCATACTGACATTGAACTACACACACTGACGATTTATGCTGCTTCCGAGTTGCTAGGAAATGCGAAAGAAAAGGCAAATGACGAGCATGACGACCATTAAATACTCTCACAGACTAATTGTGGACTACAACAAAATGTAGCTAAGGATTATAATCAATGGGAAACTATTTTCAAAGACAATTGATGAAAGCAACGTTTATCTATGTTGTCGACCATTTAATAAATAAATATATAAATAAATAAGTAAATAAATAAATAAATAAATAAATAAATAAATAAATAAATAAATAAATAAATAAATAAATAAATAAATAAATAAATAAATATATTAATATATTAATAAATAAATAAATAAGTAAATAAATAAATAAACAAATAAAAAATTAAAAAAATAAGTAAGTAAATAAATGAATAAATAAATCAATAAATAAAAAGTAAATAAATTAATAAATATATAAATAAGGTAGTAAATAAATACATAAATAAATAAATAAAGAAGTAAATAAATAAATAAATAAGTAAGTAAATAAATTAATAAATAAATCAATAAATAAATAAATAAATAAATAAATAAATAAATAAATAAATAAGTAAATAAATAAGTAAATAAATAAATAAATACATTAATAAATAAATAAATAAATAAGTAAATAAATAAATAAATAAATAAGTAAATAAAAAATAAATAAATTAATTAATTATTTAATTAATTAATAATATAAAAAAATATATTAAAAAAATATCTATGTATATCGTGGCTCAGTTCACAGATCAAATATCATGACTCGTCTTAAGGTTCAGCTCGAGAGTCTGGCTTTAAACTCATTCAGGTTCAAGTTCGTTTGTTTTTCATCAAAGTTATACTGTCTAATGTTCCGTTCATGTTTGGTAAATAATAGGAATTTTAATTTAATCAATTTAATTTTGAATAGTAAGATATTTAAATCGAATAATAAGTAGTTCACTAAGTATATTTTATTTTTATATTAGCTAATATGCTTCACAGCAATTGCATTACGTCTAATTCCATAATCATACCAAAAAGAAAATCACAATTATCCTGCTCCTAGACCATGAAACCCTTTATGAAATTGTGCTCCACTTAAATAGAGAATTGTTATTCATCTTCAGTGCGTTACGAGATGCACAACGTAATTGACATGCCCAATGCGAGGGCATAAAGGCAGACCCTCTCATTGTCGCATTAAATATAATGATCGAAATTGCAGCTTGCGTGAACAACTTAATTGAAAGTGAAAGCCCCGCTGGCAAATTTGAAAACTTAAAATGTTGAACAAAAACATCAAAAATTCGGGTCTATCCTCTGCCATTAATGCCTAGCCATAAACATTTCAAATATACGGCTGAGCTAATGAAGAAGACAGGGAGAAAGAAAGATATATATATATATATATATCAAATTTCAAGTTTGTACTTTAACCCGAAAAAAACTAAACACCAAAACGAAAATGACAAACGCTTCACGCATAAATTGAATTAATCTTTAGAGACATTTTATAAAATGCAAAAAAAACTATTTCGATTGGATCAAATAACTGTATATTGCGAGAAGAGGATTGTGGATTTTTAATCCCAGCCTCATTTATATGCACGATGCGTTGGCTTTATGGGCAAATTTTTGGTTTATGGCCAAATAAATTTTTTATTTTTGTGAATGAATTTGTCATACAAATTTTAGCTTGAATCTGAAATTGAAAAAGAAATACAATCGCAATTGGTTTTTTATGTAGTTATTAAAACACACTACAAAGAACTTTAATATTTGCATAATTAAAATAAGTATTTATAAATATATATATATGTATAAATATGTGCTACATAGATCTATCAAAATCTCTGACATATTAGCAACTGCCATCAAACCAAAGACAGAGACTTGAAGTAGAACGAATAAAAATAAAAAAAATCTCATCTCAGATCAAGTCAATACAGCGGGTCAAAGTCAACGCTTGAGCCAAATTTTTGCCAGTCATTAGCTGGCAGCACGTTGCCCTCGCTGTCGAGTCCAAGACCAAAACAAATAGTTAGTATATGAACTAAACTCATAAACCCACTCACAAAGGCGACTCTCTATAGATTTCGATATGCGCGCATTAGGCTAAGGCAATGGAGCACAGCAATTAAGAACATGGTAAGATGAGGAAACTCTCCCGTGTTATGCCACATTATGATTCCAAAGTTAATCACCAACTTGGCAAATACTAAATCGAAGTGTACTTTCGAAATACTTTAATAGCCTTGATAGCCTAAGCGATTAATTCAATAGAATGTTCTCTAGAATGCATTCAATTAGTGCCAAAGCGAACAAAGCATTGGAACTTTTAGTTTTACCCCCTTTTGGATTCGCTATTTGACATTTTATTTCATTTAAGGTTCTATCTTGATTATATTATATAATATATTCGTGCTATAATTAAATCTTGCACTGGTTATATATTTTAAATATATTTATATTTTAGAAATAATAAAAATCAGAACTGAGCGATTTTGTATTTCTTATTTCGATTATCTGAACGTTCTCAATTGAAAAGCTTAAAGTATAGAATTGCTTGAGTGGCCTTAGTATTCTGTTTAAAATTAAGCCCCTGAGCGCAACGATTGTTGAAATGTTTTCATTTTTACGATTTTACGATTACTCCACCAGCAAAATATGTACTATTTAAAGATCAATAATCTAAAATAAAATTAGGTAAAAAATAACTTTTATAAATTATTATATTAATTAAACTACTACAGATTTCATTCGATTATAATAAACGGGTATTGCTAAGTAATTTATAACGCGAGTTTTTTAATATTCATTCCGGATAACAGATGTCCTTGTATTCATCCTGAATGTTGGTATTTTTTCTTATTTTAGCCAAATAACAAAGAACAAATGCGAGCCAAACACTAAAATGGCCGCATTGTCAAACTGCGATAGATTTTTCATATAGATGTGTGTGTGTTTGTGTGTGTATGGAGTTTTTGTGAGTGTGTGCATATGATTTGATGTGACTAATGTAATATTTGAATTTGCTGGAGCATTTAAAAAGTTATTGGCTCGATGGGCACAGTACATTCGCCGACGGTGACGCGATACATGGCCATTTCGGAGATGCCGTGGTAATGCACAAACGCTGCCGCAATAACGAGCACATGGAAAAGTTGATGTGACTGGAACTGCAAGAGACGAAATGCATTGGTAAAGAGAACTTTCATTTATAACGCTCACAAAATAAACTTACCCAAATGTCAAACTTGCCGGGGAACCAGCGCTCGGGCACGCGGAGAGCATACAACAAAGCACCAAGTATATATAGTAAGCCTTAAATCAAGTTAAAGATTTGAGTATAAGATATAAGTTAGTGTTATTTGCATAGCTTACCCATCAGTATAAGCCAACCGAGACTAGCGCGGCTGATTTGACTTAACCAACCCTCCATGATGCTGTAGTGAATGGCCGGAATAACTCCAGAGAGGCCAAAACTCATGAATACGCCGGCACGCAGCGGGCGCAAGGCTGGCTCCGAAAACTTATCCCACAGCGAGACTATGATGGAAAGACAGCCGAGCACGCAGACCACAGAAAGATATATAACCTTTGGCTGATAGTGACAATAGAAGCCATAGTAAAGCCAAGGAACAAAGGAGCCCATTATAAGTAGTGCAATTCCACAGTAGTCCAGTCTGAAATTAACATAAATTTAGATTAATATAAATATCTAGATGATAGAGTATGCACACTTACTTTGAAAATAGTCTGCCAATCTCAACCGAATGACAGCTTAACGTATGAAAAGCGAACGAAAATCCTAAACAAATGATGGCGCCCATAAAGAATGCGCCAAAAACTAACTTCTCTTGAAATTGTATCTCAACTGTGGGACGGGAAACAAAATATAGGGCCACGCCAATGAAAGCAATGCACCCAAGCAGATGCGTCCAGATGTTTCCAGTTTCCGTGTGCACACGGAATATCGATTTGAAGCATGCCCGGAACGAAGGGAGCGGCGGGCGATGACCGCGATGCAAAAAATCATTGTCCTGCAACCATTTGGGCAAGTTTCGGTAATGGCAAACCTTCCAGCTGGCTTCCCACACCTGCGAACAAATAAAATGATTATAACACGAAAATATATATTTAGATTAACATGTAATTATTTGACAAAGAATCATGAAACGAAACAGAATGAACAATTTATGATTTAACAAAAACTAGTAAATGCATTTATTAAACATTAAATGTGAATATGGGTTAAAAAATATGTGTTAGTACATGATTGTTAAATATACATTTTAAGGAAGTTACAAAAAGGCCCGTCAAAGAAATTTTTTTGCTTGAGCTTTCAGCTTACCTTGCGCACAAATTCCTCGGCCTGCTCGGCGGCATTGTGAGCCAGTGCGCCCAGATCAATCTCGTCCGAGAGCACGCCAGCCTTTAAAACTTCTGTCATCTAAAAGAAAAAATATATGCGTTAAGCTTGAGGTACACTTTAAGGCAGACTTAAAAGCTTTAAATTAATTTACTATGCCAGAAGAGACTAACGTTGATTTCGCTTGATTGAAACTTAATTGGTTCTTCATAGGGTTGATTCTTAAATGATTCCAGAGATTCGCCCACGTTTATAACAGCATCGAACTCAACTCGCGAATCAGCCATTGAGCAGCTCATAAAATTTAATATAAATACTGAATAAAATATAAAGTGCACGAAAAGGCAAATGGCAAGTTTTGTACTTTGAAGTGATAGTCGATCGCCTACTAAATTCAAAAATTGTGTACACATTTGCGGCGGAAGAAAATGCGAACGAAGCCCGCGATAAGATAACGAGTGTAAAAAATCGACGCCAGACGTAAAACAACTATCTGCGTCACATCTGTTGTTATATTTTTTTTGGTTTTTTTCTTTAATATTTGCCTCGTCGCCAACAAGCGCCCAAATCCAGTGCTCAACGCCTAATCCGCACCTGACCCCACAAGGCGTGCTAATTGTCAATGCAGACGCAAATGACAGCAATAAGTTATAAATACATGTACATATGTATTTAACTACGCAGACATGCTTATAGCCCATGCGGGCAGGTGTTGGGTGGCTGGTTGTCTTGTCGACATTTTGCACCTGCGCTAAAGCATGAGGCAACGCATATCGAAGTGACTCCAGCGATATGATAAGCTCCGTCGCGACATTCAAAATGTCAGCGAACGATTGCTCCAATTCGTATATGCATGAACAAACATACAAACAATATACATACGTATAAACATGTGTCCAACCCACTTGTAAATGCTGATAGCCGCTGACCCCTGGGTCAGCTAGCTGGCAGCTGATTGCGTCTTTGGTTTGACTTACCTCTGCCTCTATGAGCTGAGTGTCCTCTGGCGTTGACGGCAATGGACAACCGGCATCGTCCTCCTCGACGAGCTCGTCGTCGTCATCCTCAAGCAAGTCTCCTGGTCCCCAGCCGCGTCGCTTGCGCAATATCATTGTCACCTGCTCGAAAATGTCCTCGTCTTCATCCTCGCCGACAGCGCTCTGCGCCGCAGGAGTATCGTTCATTTCCACCGACGAGGGCAAACCAGAATCCTGATCGGTAACGTTGGCGCTTGTGCTGGCCAATTCCTTATCGCTGCCTGAGCTGTTGCTTTCCAGCAGTTTCTTAGAGGAATCCATCACAATTGTTTGTAGCCTCTACGCAAATGTGCTGAAAAAATAGATTTATTTAAAACAAAATATAAGACAAACTTTTAAATGGAAAATTTTTATTAAAAGTCTCTATACAGATGTACAATTTACATTAGCATTCCAAATCGAGAGTTTGAGAGTCATGAACACATGGCAGTTTACTATTGATGACGCTTGTCGAACTTTGTACCCTTGATAGTTAATAAATGCACATGTGTGTGTGTGTATTGTTATTGGTTTTACATTTATCGGGCTGCGCGAACATGGTAACGGAGGTGCATACGGCAAGAGGAAACAAACAACGAAGCAACAAGCGAGCGAACGGCTATTAAAGTAATTAAACTTTTATATAAGTGCCCCCACAGGTTTGCGTCGTCAAGGGCGGCGGTGAAGGAGCTGCACTGGAGACGGAAAGGGCACACAGATAACTGGGCTGATTTTCCAACTGTTTTACTTATGTTTGTTTGGTTCAGTGGTTTTCATTAACAGACAAGTAAAACTCTTAAGCAGATTCCACGAATTAAGCTGAGCTTTATGTATGCATCTAGGTCATATAATCTGTTTTCACATTTATTAAGCACTGTGGAATTAAGCCCCAACTCATTCTTAAATGCTAAAATTAAAATATTGAACCGAGTTAAAACGACTTACCCCTTTTTTGGACGCAATGTTTTAAATTAATCCGTGCGAAAAATGGATTCGCGTTGAGTCGAAACGAAAAGTTTTAACAAAAAATTATACCAATTTCCTCTTTCTACAATATAACAAAAAGTGTGCCCACATCTATGGCAGCTGTAACATTTTTAATTTAGTCTCATGCACATTTTACGATACTTATCGATAGTTTTTCGGGCTCTACCTACCTAGTTATTCGCTGAACTTCAATTATTTGAATCGCATTAATATAAAATAATAAAATTCTTTCAAGAATTATGGGAGGCTAGGTTTCATTCATGCCAACAAAATTTTTACTAAGATAGCGGTGAAAGAAGAACTTAAATTGAATGATTTCGACATACATTGTATTTAAAAAAATGAATATATCCTTAATGCGCAGTTAAATTTTTATAAAACCCTACAGTATTTTGGAGTTTAACATTTGCGACCAGGGCTAGTAACTTTTTAGAAGCAAAAAAAATCTTTATTCGAAAATAATGTGAAATTTCCAGCAAACAAACCTAAAAATCTGTTTTTTATCATATTTATTTACATTTTTTCTATACATTTTTAAAATTTCAGTCAAATTCAGTATAATAGATTTATTAATATTTAATTTAGGAGTAATTGGTAGTTGGTAGATCCTCTACGCAACTGGTATCTATAATATAAAAAATTGGCTGACCCTTAAATCTGTGATTTAACTTTGTGCGTTGTAGTACACGAGTATGTTAACTTGCCATTTTCACAAAAACAATAGAACTCTGTTCATGCTAGAAATGTTATGTTAAATTCGATAAGTCACCATGCTTGTCGATGTAAAGTTTCTGTTAGACCTGGAAATTTTACATATTGTTTTCTTTGTGTAAGCAAAGCGGAAGAAAGGCAAAAGGGTATTTAAAAGCTAGAGATTTCGTTGCCCGCTGTTTTCGAGTATTCCCCGCAATTGGACTTATAAAAAAATAAACAAATTTGATAAATGCAGACAACCTAACAACAATCCATATTTTCTAACTTATGATGAATTTACATAAGATGCCGGGCTCACCAAAAATCATCAAGCAAATATGTAAATAATTTCTTTACATTTATCGATTTTAAGTTAACAAGCATTTGTTAATCGAACAGCTGTTAAAAACAACCTAAACAAACAACTTTAGAAATGCCGCCTTTTCAAAGATAGTTCCCGCTTTTTTCGTTTTTTCGGCACCAAAATCGTGACCATCTCGTGGTTAGTTCGTGAGTCGCGATCTCATCGTACAGTTTCATTGATTTGCTTTTCGGCAATTTCACAACACATCGTTGCATTCACGCATTATTTTTTAGAAGATTTACTAAAATAAATATAACACATTTTTGACGAACAGATAAACGCTTAGCTTTAATGATGGCCACGGCAAAAGCATGCACAAGCAATGGCCGAAAGTACGCCCAGGACACACAGCCCTTCACGGTGCTGATTGAGGGAAACATTGGCAGTGGCAAGACGACATTTTTGAACCACTTTCAGAAATATGACAAGGATGTCTGCCTGATCACAGAACCAGTCGAGAAGTGGCGCAATGTAAACGGTGTCAACTTGCTGGAAAAAATGTACAAGGATCCACACAAATGGGCTATGCCTTTTCAGTCATACGTCACATTAACGATGCTCCAGGCGCACACGGCACCGACGGCTAAAAAATTGAAAATAATAGAACGCTCTATTTACAGTTCACGGTAAGCAGAATATTTGGTCAGTTTTTAGAATTTATAAAATTAATTATCGTCCCGTTGCAGATATTGCTTTGTTGAGAATATGTTCCGCAATGGCTCCTTGGAGCTGGGCATGTACAACACACTGCAAGAGTGGTACAAGTTCATCGAGGAATCGATACACGTGCAGTCCGATCTGATTATATATCTTCGCACCTCGCCCGAAGTGGCGTATGAACGTATACGTCAGCGCGCCCGTTCCGAGGAGAGCTGCGTACCATTGAAGTATTTACAGGAGTTGCATGAGCTGCACGAGGATTGGCTCATACACCATAGGCGTCCACAGCAATGCAAGGTTAGTTGAATTGAACTCGCCCAGTCGTTCAAAGTGGTATTCAATGTTTTTGTTATTGCAGGTTCTTGTGCTAAATGCCGATCTTAATCTAGAAAATATTGGCAGTGAATATCAGCGTTCCGAGTCGAGCATTTTTGATGCAATCTCAGGGGCGCATCAGCAACAGCCTACTGCGGTGCTGGTATCGCCCAGTAAACGCCAAAGATTATCTAGTTAACCAACTTGGCCTCGGGTCGCCGAAATCAGACGATCAATAAACCCGGACAAAGTTTACATAAGCAAACACTTTTATAATCTTACGAAATTCTGCTCCTGGTTATATTCGCCCAGGACATCATGTAAATGGCTTCAGCTATTGTTCTTTATAAGATAGTAATCGCATTTCATACATCACAAATATTTTAAATTTTACCAATATAAATTGTAATTTTATTGAAAGCAGTGCTCGATAGTGTAATTAGAAATTTTATTTATGACACCTTCAGTTCTAACAATTTTATTCAATGTTATATCCTATACAAAAAACCTACATTGTAAGCTAAAATGTTTAATAAAAGCAATTCTGTCTTTGCGCTTAAACAACTAATATAATAACCAAGTGTATTATTGTAATGTGTGCATTTGTCACAAAATATAAACAATTAGCTCAGCCGTCTAGCAAAAGTCAATTTCTGCGCCGCCGCTTTGTAAAACAGCCTCCACACGCCACGTCATCGACTCGTACAGCTGATCTATCTTGTTCACCAGCTCCTGGTCGCTGTGCCAAATATCATAGAGCACGGATCGAAACTCGTAGACATTTTGTGGTGCCTGGGTTTGTATCTTGGGCTGTATGATGGCCATTAGTTGCTCCAGCAGGTTCAAATCATTGCATTCGCCGCAATCGGGGCCCACCAATGTGTCCAAGTAGATTTCTTTGGGCGTTGAGCCTACCATAACTTTCTGGTCGTCCATGTTGAAGATGTTGCGCCAGTCCTGTACCGTCCATTCCTCGTGAGCGCGTGCCCATTCCAGGCGCCTCTGCCGTACAGTCGCACTCAAGCCTCTATTCTTTGGTGGGAATGGGCGCGCCCTTATCTCACTGATGCGCCTTTGAAGCGTGCGACGGCTCACTTCAATGCCAAACCGATTCAGTAGCTCGCGCTGCACATCTATCGACGTATAGTGTGGATGATCACAGAGCATCTGCTCCACCAGCTCGCGGTTTTCAAACACTTTCGGCCGTCCAACTTCCCGCCTGCTCTGCAATTCCGGCAGCGGCCTCAGCCTCAATTTAGCCACTTTGCCATCATGCTGCTCAGTTTCGGTAATGCAGCTCGTCACGCTTTCAACATCACACTCCAGCATTTGGGCGATTTCCGCGTGGCTGTAGTTATCCTTCAGTGTATGCACAATATTCCGTATATCGGTTTCAAGCACCATCGCGAAATATGACTTGTTGGCCGTGCCAAAATCAAACAATAAATGCGCAGAGTTTAGATTCAGCGCCGTGTTTATATGCGCTGGCAGGTAAACTTCACAGCAAATGCAGCTGCTTAGGTTTATGACGCGCAAGCTGCCACGGATTAGTGAAACCTTTTATTACGCACATTTGCCCGTAGGTAAAATGGTGGCTGCGTGTCCATATATGCTTTTTAATTGCTTGTATGGAACTATTTTCATTTTTACCTTAGTGTACATCTGTAAGCCCCAAACAATAAAATAGATTTTTTCCGTACTTGCCATTTAATGTGAAGACGATTTCATGTTGATGTATGATTGTAGAATTACAAAAATAAATGTAAAAAACTTGTACATGTGAGTTAGTTATTTCTACAGTAGGAAATGCATCACTGCCAAATGTCAGATATTGTTAAAAATATATGCCAGTTTTGTCTTTTATATTTACGTAGGTATTCATTATATCCATTTATGACGAACGAGTTAGAGCTATTCATATTGTGCCAAAGGCGCGCAAGGCCTATTTTGAACGAACAACATAGAGGGGCTTTTAGCTGGGCACAAGTGTGTGTAAAAATATAAAGGAGGAAAGGCAACCATATAAGCTCGCAGTGAGCACCCCTATGACATGGAGAGTTAAGGTTTGGGTTAGTAGCATTAGCTTGATTGGAATTATACAATTAAATAAATAACGATAAAGTATGCCTAATTGGTTTCCTACATTCATGTGCTAGGTTTTGATTTGTTTTCTTTTCATATGATGTTTTTTGTTTTTGTTGAGTGTTCCAGGCGCAACAAAGTGCCAAGCAGCTAGTGTTTACTCTTGTGGATGTGTTTGTTTATGTTGCGGCTGCCGTAGGCGCCACATTAGTCATCCAGATCGATATCTGAATCATCGGAGTCATAGCCGCCGCGTATGGTCTTCTGTGGGCGATTTATAAATGGCTTGCGTTTCACATCTGGTGGCTGCATAAGATCGCCTTTGTACTCAATGACGCCCGAATGGGCAATACGCCACTCGAGCATCTCTGTGGAGAAGTCATCACAGTTGCCCAAATCGGTGAAGCCGACTATGAAGTCCTTGGTTTTACTGTCCTTCACTAGTGCTATTGTTGGCAGCACCTTGATGCGTAGACGTTGGGTCAAGAATGGTGTCTTCTCAGCATTCACCTTGCAGAATTTGGCCTCAACATGCTTGGCGGCGAGTATTTTCAGATGCATGTCGACAATGCGACTGCGTTCCGAGCTATCCCTATAGAAGTGGCACACAATGTTCGGCGATTTCTTGGATACCTCAAAGAACTCTTTCTCATCGGCCAACTCGGAATAGGTGCCGTGACCCTAGAATAAACATTCAATTAAAAGATAAAACATCTCAAGCAGCCAGATTGTACTCACGTTTCTCAGCCACTCTTGCTTTTTATTGTTTAACTTTTTCATTTCCTGTAAGCGCTTCTCTCTCAAGGCCTTCAAGTCGTCCGTGTCAAAGTTATCCAAGCGATCGATCTCCTGATCCAACTGCTGCTCAATTGCTTGCGCAGCAGCATATAATTGATTTTCCACTATGTGCGCCATATCTCCGGTGTGAGCTGTGTAGGTGCACTTGCTGCTTGTGGCAACTAATTCGTATCTATTTTGACTCTTATTATGCCTGTTTGTGCGTCTGTGTGTGTGAGCTGTACGCACTGCGTGTTTGCGTGTCGTGTTTTACAAATGTTTTGTTTTGTGTGTATGCGTGTCCGGCATAAATGAAAGGCGTATCCAGATGCAGATGCGTCATGTTTTGTGGAAAATTCAATAAAGTAGCCAACGTTAATATAAAAGAACATTTTATTTGACTTAAGACGAGTATAAATCAGCTATTTGGCGACTACTTACGTTAATTTTTCACTGATTTAATAGAATTTGAATAGATATTTCTTATAGCTTATTTATTAGCAGTGTGGGATGGCGATTGTACAAGTGAATCGATTAACTTCACAATCGGTGTGGCTGCATAGTGAAAGCATTAAAATACTGATTTCGATATAAATTACACTTGTAGTTTTGTTAAGTCGTGCTAAAGATGACAAAGTGAGTCGAGTATCGATATGATTTTAATATGAGTATTGTAACTCGATAGCTCGATTGGTTATCGGTCAACACAAATGAGTATAAAAAGCTTGGCAGTTAACAAAAATTAAATCCTTCAATTCAAAAAATTAATATTTGGCTTATTTAAATCAATTATAAAAAGGTAATTGTCATAGTTAGTCAAAATATAACCATACACAATTTAATTAATTCAAATAAATTCCTTTAGACTGGACCTTGTCTTGGTCAGTATACGTTCTTTATTTTGTATTATTAAACTCTTCCTTCAACGAGTTTCCGCGTTCTGTCGCGCTCTTGTCGGGTGTTTAGAAGTCGAGTACTTCCACTTAAGTCTAATGACGTGGCTAAGGTAATCAATCAATCGACTTACGTGATGGAAATGTAAACATTTAATTCAAGATCAAGATTTATCTTAAGTACATTCAATTTTATCTATCAATTACGTGAATCTCGGAAATTCGAGTCATCAAAGTACCTGAATGATAACAAAACTATAGCGTAGCGATCTACATATTCAACATTTTGAAATTTTGTCTGAAAAGAAGGGATTCTCTTGCAGCTTTCTATTTTCCGGCTTGTCCAGCAACGTTTTCGCCTCTTCTATGTCCGACTTAATAACTTTAATTAAGTCGTCCAGCGAGTCGAAATTTTTCTCAGGTCGCAAATATCCTACAATGCAGATTTTTAACGTTTGCCCATACAAATCACAATCGAATTTATGCAGCATATGCGTTTCCACGCTCTTTTCCTTGTTGTTGTAGAAAGGATTCCATCCCACACTTAGAACCATTTTGTACACCTCACCGTTATTTACATTGGACCAGCCATAGTAGACTCCGGTGTGCAGGGATTCGGGCAAAGACTTTACAACATCAAGCGCTAAGTTTGCTATCAATAGAAATCGAGAACATTATTAGGCGTTATGTGATCAGGTTACGACAGTCAAGTTCTGTACATACCCGTTGGAATGCCTAGCTCTTTGGAGCCACGGCCAAAACCGCGTACAATCTCGCCGCTGGCATAGATTGGCAGCTGGTGAAGCATTTTTTTATGGTCGTTGACGTAGAAGCTGTCTGTTTTGCTGGATCTGCTATAGAACTTTGCCTCTGGTTTGTGGTCTGCTGAAATGCAATTTCGTCTGGTTGCCCTGATCACGTTACTCGCCAATTTTCTGAAACAGCTTGCAAATTAAGCATAATTATCAGCGCGTGCGATAATTACAACATCACTCACAAAACTGTTAGACCCCCCATTGATAATGGTATTATAAGCACAACAGTGAGACACAGTCAGCTGTCAACACGACTGCAAGCAAATCGAAATCGATTATCGTAATCGGTTATCGGATTATCGTTTATTGTTTACACGAATATGAATAAACACAATTATTCGTCGATCATTTATCGTTGTTACGCGGACTAAATAGATCTGGCTAGCAGGTGTCGAATAATTAACAAATAATAAAATTATAAATAAAAGTGCAGCCGTGTTAAAATATTGGCTAATATGAGGAAAATAAGTGGCGATAATAAGCGGGCGAACAGGTTAACGGCCATCAGGTGCTTCAAATGTTAACTTCCATTTAAGCAGACTAATTGTAACTACAAACTTTAAAGCAGAACAAAGGCATTAAGAAGATGTTTGGGCGTGACTGCCTCAAGCCTTTCGCAAAACTGTCAAATGTTTAAGAATTTCTTAAACTCCAAAACTCCTCATTATACAGAAAAACATGCGAATCTTATAAAGCCTAAACACTAAACAACTTAATAATGGCAATAAGAACACCTCGCCAGAAGAAATACAATCCACAAATTCCAAGATATGGTCTACCATATTTTGCCACAGACGTCTCAATATCGGATATCGCTGTTGGATTAGCTGTACACGATTTCACAGACAAAGTAAACTGAATATACAATAACAATACAAATAATTTCATACACCTGTGCGAAACTGTTAGCTTTAAGAGAAAACATTACAAAGTTTATAATATTTACAAGCAGTAATGGAGCTCCTCTTCATATTTAGTAGCTGAGCTAAGGTACACCTGAGACTGGACAGGTATATGCACACCTGGCAAATGCACATTTTGAAAAGAAATATAAACTGCAGAACATCTAATTTTTAACTCTATGAAAAATATATAACACTTTCTCTTCAGTCAATTCTATTAAAGACATCCTAACCTGTGAAGAACAACTTAATCTAAGAGAAATTTAATTTTTATATTAAATTTATACTTCAATTCTACTTGTGAAAATCCAAATTGCGAATGATTGTCTTTAATTTTGGACTGTCTAAAATGTAATTTTTCATTTTTATTACGCTAAACTCGACAAAAAACTAAGCACTAAAAAAGATTGTCAATAAAATAAATATAGGTTTGAAATATGCAATAAACAATATCTGTTGAAATGGTTTTTTATTTTCCGCATTAGCTTATGTTTGTTTTCGGGGTTGTATAAAGCTATTAATTAGCGTCGTAAGCAAATGTTAATAATTCTAGGTACAATAATTTGGTAACGGTACTATAAATAATATAATTATGTATTTGTCTGTATAGAAGCATCTATTATTGGTTGAACGAACGATGAAAGATACGACTGCAGCTATTGTACATTCATAAAGGAACTAAATTCTAGTTAATGTTTAGAGCCTTGGCTACAACTTAGATCAATACACAGATGTGTTTTTTTTTTTGTGAAACGTGGCGCTTTTATCTTACGGCTATGCTTATGTCTACGATTACGTGTAATTATATTTGAGTGGAGGTTTTGGTGGATACTAAAAACAATTTATTATTATTATTATTATTATGGTAGTGTCTATGGCATAAACTGTACAACAGAAACTGCTTGAAGGCTAATATGTATTTAATTGGAAGTAGACAGTGGACTATTGAGCCACTAAACAACTTAGTATTAGGATTTTTAATGATTAAACAATGTTTAGCTACACATGGAATGCTTTAAAGTAGGTACAGAATTCGTTTAGAAACAATTGAAAATATAAAAAAAAAATAGTAGTTATACATTTTACAAATGTTTACTTAAGCAGTTAAGTGAAACTCATTTAACATCTTTCTTGGATAAGATAAGTACAGATAATATTATAAATGAGTATAGTTTGCAGTAATATGATTTAGACAGTATCGCTTATTATTTATGTTTCGTATGGATTATGATCACGGCACCGTTTAAACATAGCATTTATAAACATAAAACAACTTACAATGAAGATTTCTCGTACAATATTCTTAAACATAGGGAACTTGTACGTTAGAAAAAAGCAAATGAATTGCAATCTCATATTCATACAGATAAATCAACAAAACTTGTGAACACAATTAAAGACTACCATGAAGATAAAAGCTAAATGCTTAATGAACGTTCTATAAATGTTAAAAATACAAGTCATAGATGAAAACTAATGCGGTTGCATGTGCAACACAACAGCAAGAACAACAAAATGTAAATTCCGTCACTCACATCACATACGATTGCGCCGGCCTTTCAAGCTGTGTGTGGCCTGACGTGGACAAGTGGGCGTTGTGGCCTTGTTTCTGGTATTGTGCTTAGCTTTGGACTGCCCGCTGGGCTTTTGTACCAGCTAGCTGCATTTGTTGTGGTTGGGTGGGGTGTCACCAAAAACAAACCAAAACCGATTGCAGATTAAATAGAAAATGCGACCAAACTAAATGGTAATGTCGCCATAGTCCTGCGACCATTTCTCGTATGAGTTGAGACTTTGCGGCGCTACCGAACGACGTATGCGCTTTAACGAGTTATGGAAATCCTTTTCGGTGATTGGGCGCATAGCGCTTATGTCCAGACACTTGACCTGCTCCACATTTAGTTCACGTATGGGCTCTAGGGCTGCATCCTTGGCCAGCGCTGTTAGATCAGAGCCCGAATAGCCGTCAGTTATCTTTGCCAAACGGGCCAAGGCTTCCGTATCCAGTGGACTTCCCTGCTTCTGGAGCAGGCGACTTAAAAGCAGCTCGCGTGTTTGTACGCCGGGCAGTGAGACGTAGACGCGCTTGGTGAACCGACGCAGCGCAGCTTCGTCCAGCTCTTGCGGTCGATTGGTAGCTGCCAGCACCACAATGCGATCTCCCTCTGGATTGCCAGGTAGCCCATCGAATTCGACCAGGAATTCGGTTTTAAGGCGACGCGATGCCTCATGCTCGTTGCTGCTGCGCTCCGAGAGCAGCGAATCGACCTCATCAATAAATATTATCGATGGCTGCATGTGACGAGCCACCGCAAAAAGTGCGCGCACCAGTTTCTCGCCATCGCCCACATACTTGCTGGTCAGCGAGGCGGCCGAGATGTTTAGGAATGTGGCGCTGCACTCGGTGGCCACGGCGCGCGCCAACAAAGTTTTGCCATTGCCGGGCGGTCCGAAGAGCAGCAGACCCTTGGCGGGTGCGCGCAGGCCTGCGAAAGAACAAGTTGTTGTTAAACATATGCTCTATTTGAGGACGGCGCAACCTACCTGTAAAGAGCTCGGGACGCACGGACGGCAATATGACCATCTCCTGTAGCGCTTGCTTGGCCACATCCTGGCCGGCAATGTCGGACCACTCCACCTTGGCGCCACCCTCAACAATCTCGTCGAGTATCAGCTGCACCAGCTTCTGCTCCACGCCCTTGACACTTATCATTGGCGTGCTGGCCCCGCTGCCGCTGGCCGCATTGTTGTTGATGGGCGTGCGTGAGCGCTGCGGCGGTGTATTGCGGCCGGATGACTGCAGGGATTATATATATATTACAGAAGTCTGAGATGTCTTGTGAAATCTTGACTTACAAATTGGCGTCGCACGGCCGGTGGAGTAGCTGCCGTTTTGGCTGGCTGACGCAAAGCGGCGCCCACGGAGGTTGAGGTCGTCTTCGAGCCGAGATTGCGTGGCAGCGTTTGTGACTTGTTGGCGACGGCCAGATTGCCGGGTCGCTTGTTGCCAATGGTTAGTTTGCGCCCAGAAGCTGTATTTGAGATGACAGTTCGATTAATATGCGCTGCAAAGATTGTGGCTAGGGCCTTACAAGCTATAATTTTGTCTAGACCAAATCAAAAGCTAATCAAAATAACTCAAATTGAAACTAAAAATCATGCGGTGCTTGAAGTGGAAATGCGAGAGTGTGAGGAAAATGTTGATTGTTCGCTTGCAGTCGTTGGTATAATTATAATTATTATTATTATTTTTGTTGTTGTTGTTGTTGTCGCTCTTACTGGACTGGGTGCTATAGCTTTTATTGTTGCTTTTGCTGTTGCAGTCGTTTTAAAGGTTACGGCACTTACCCGCTGGCACGGCTTTGGATGTGGTTGCGCTGCTGCTGCCCGTTTTGGGTCCGTAGCCGCTGCTGCGCAGTGTTATTTTCGGTGGATCAGCGCTTGCTCTGCTGCTGGTTTGACCCACCAGCATGGGTTGCTTAAATTTGTGCGGCAGCTGCGTCTTGGGCTGCTCCTTCAGGGACAAACGTTGCATTTGCAAATCTTCCTCACGCAAAGCTGGGGGAAATGGACGCGAATGAGGGGCCGGGGATGGGGGCACAACGTAAAACAAAATGTGCAAACACAAAACGACAAACACAGGTGCAAAACAAAAGAAAAAACCAAATAATAAATGAACGATTACACTACGCTCAAGGGCGGAGGAGTTATGGATGCAGACATACAACGCAGCTACTCACCGAGAAAGTGCAGACGATCGCGGGCCATGGAGAGATTGGTTTGCATTTTCTCATGCAAGCGCTGGGCGCGATCCCAGACATCGCCGCGTCCGCTCCAGCAGTCAACGGCAATGCCATCCTCCAGCTCCTTGATGCCCTTACGATACAGCTCAATGGCCAGCTCTTTGTGGCCTGCAGGCGTATGCAAAAGCAAAAGAGAAATGAAAAATAAAGTATCAATAACAGAGTGCACATGTGTGAGTGTGTGTGTGTGTGTGTGTGTGTGGGCGGCTATTGATTTGCAGCGGAGAGTTGGAGAGGAGAGTTGGACGCGGGTCGAGTTTTCTTTCGTGACACGAACACTCACGATAGAGGACGTGCCTGTTAAACAGGACAAACACGGATTAGCATCGAAATCAAAGACATATAATTTGAATTGCATAGAAGTAAATTTAATTGTTGCAGAAGATGCAATTGTATGTGTATGCAATTGTATCGTATATGTATTTAAAGATATGTATGTGTATTTAGTCTTTCCCAATTGTGATTCGTGTCGTGTTAGATAAATGCAACACGAGCCTATCTCTAGCTCATACAACAGATACGACAACAAAGCGCGCGCTGCGTTCGATGACTCATGAAGCACCACTCCAGCAGCCGCAATCACAAAGCAACCCCATAAAAGGCTTACCTTCGTTCTCCTCGTCAATTTTGAGCGCCTTGGAAATGTACTCGAATGCGCGTCGATGATGATGTTTTTGCTTGGCCAGCAGCGGATCACCGGGACCAGGTGAATAGCCACCACCACCACCGCCACGACTAGCTGCCATTTCTAGGGTTTGGAGTGCGCGTTGTCGCTGGGGCAGAGTCTGTGCCTGTTCAATGCCGACGCTGGTGCCCTCCAATGGACAAATGATTGCCTGCTGCTCCTTGGAATTCTGGACGACAATCTCAATGTTGCAGTCGCGTCGATGGGGACTGCGATAGATCACCTTTGTGCTGGCGCCGTACAAATATCGAAAAATGCAGAACAGCTGATAAATCAGAGAGCGCAAAACGTTGAACAGAAATATAATGGGAAATGAAACAACGTAGAGATTTTGCTTGTGCACCGAAGTTCCGCCTCTCGGCACGTTTCCACTGGTTGGCGTCAGGTCCGCATCGGTGGTGTCGTCGTCTGGTGAACTGCCCGGTGTAGTTGTTGTTGTTGTTATCGTTGTTGTAGTGCGTTGACGGTTCGACGACAGCTTCGAATTAGACTTGCCGTCATCGATTAATGCATCACTGCAGCTGCGACTGCGATTGGCGCTGCTGCTGCCGCCTCCGCTGATCTTGACCGGCGATTTGGTGCTGCTGCTAGCGCTGGACGACGACGATTGGTTTTTGGTGCGTACCATCGATATTGATTCCGCGCCGCAGCACCCAAAACCTCACTATTTTCTAAGCTATTCTCTTTTCGCAACACCTTCCACCTCCACCTCAACCTTCACCTCCATCGACTGAGAATCGAAGTTTTGCCTCACTCTTCTTTCACAGCTCAGACACAAAGACAGTAAACCAGAACGCGTACGCGATTAAATAATGACTGAAAACAAATAAACTGAAATGGAACACACGACGCGCGCTATTTGTTGTTAATTGTTGTTGCTCATTTTTCTATATGTATTTATTGAGCGCCGTTTTTTGTGCCGTTTCAACTCGCAAAACAAATTTTCTCCGTCTCCGTTGACGTAGTTGCCAGACGGCTTGAGGTTTACGATTTGAATATTCTTAAAACTTCAAAGGAGCAGCAAACGCTGTTTTTCGAAATAAAAGCTGGTAAATTAAATATAGTTTGATATTAAGGTCAGCAAATGCAACAAACATTAGTCACAACTTGAATATTTTCAAATAGGCAATTGGTCCGGCAGCACCACATGGGTTGTTCTAGGGTTGTTGTCGTTTCGAAAATTTCGATGTTTTGAGGTATCGATACGCGTGTCTTTATAAAAACAGCTGCCGTCTCGGCTGTATCTGCGTTTTTTGCATAACAAATTCTTTAAAATTACCGTAAAACCACAAGAGAAAGTAATCAAAATTGCAAAAAAGAAAAAACGAGAACGTAAAGCGATAAGCCTTGTGTACTTACAAATAGAATAACAAAACAAAAAATGGGACAATACACGGCGTCGCAGCGCAAGAACGTTAGAATTTTGCTTGTCGGCGATGCTGGAGTTGGCAAAACATCGTTAATATTGTCCCTGGTGAGCGAGGAGTATCCAGAAGAGGTGCCGCCGCGCGCCGAGGAGATCACAATACCGGCAAACGTTACGCCCGAACAAGTGCCCACCAATATCGTTGACTTTTCGAGTGTGGAGCAATCGGATGACGCACTGGCTGTCGAGATAAACAAAGCGCATGTCGTGTGCATTGTATACGCCGTAGACGATGACGACTCTCTCGACCGCATTACATCCCACTGGCTGCCCCTGGTCCGTTCCACATGCAACAGCAACAGCTCCACCACAGACGGCGAGCCCGATGTGGCGCGCAAGCCAATTGTGCTGGTTGGCAATAAAATCGATTTGATCGAGTATTCGACCATTGACAGCGTTTTGGCCATTATGGAGGACTACCCAGAGATCGAGAGCTGTGTGGAATGCTCAGCGAAGACGTTGCACAACATTTCCGAAATGTTTTACTATGCACAAAAGGCGGTGCTTCATCCCACCTCACCGCTGTACATCATGGAGGAGCAAAATGTAAGTGCGATCTGGCTGAATTATTGGTCTAGGATACGCTTTAACATTGTTCATGCTTATACCCTTGCAGAGGGTACTTTAACTTTGATACAAAATGGGTGACGCTCAGAAGCAGACGTATCCGATCTTATGAAATCGTCTATCTGTTTTTGATCAGCAAGATGATGTACGTCCGTATAATCATGCTCTTCCGTCTTTCTGGTGCAGGCAGTACATATCACTCAGCCGAGACGGAACACTAGCTTCCATAGGAACGATAGGTCGCAAATTGATTTTCCTTTTGTAGAAAGCTTCAAGTTCTCTTAACTCTCGCATCAAGATCAACTACCATGTCACATAGCTCCCCTTGGATTAATCAGCCAACAAATTCAATTTGTATATGCACAATTTTTTTGTTTTTAAAGATATTAACCCAACTAGACATATCCTAAAATATTCGCATCAATCTTAGTACTAAAAGGTTCCTCTAATAGCTAAAATCTGAAAATGTATTAATACAGTCTAAACGACTGCAAGCGTATTTAGTCTTCGGCACTCCGAAGATAACTCAAAATTATCTTTATCAAAGTGCAATATTATATTATATATAAATTAATTTAACGTAGCTATAGTAACCGGGTTGTGTGTGGCTCGGTGCAGACATAATATTGCATATAGCCCATTTCATGGCAAGATTATTTAACCTTTAACCCGAAGATAACTTTTTCATTGCGAAATTTAATTTGATTTCAGCTAACACCTGCCTGCAAGAAGTCGCTGGTGCGCATATTTAAGATATGCGATATTGATAGTGACAATCTGCTCAATGATTACGAGCTGAACCTGTTCCAAAGGCGCTGCTTTAATACGCCGCTGCAGCCACAGATACTGGATGAGGTGAAGTCCGTGATACAGAAGAATGTGCCGGATGGCATCTATAACGATGCCGTTACGCTGCAGGGATTCCTCTTTCTGCACTGCCTGTTCATACAGCGTGGCCGGAACGAGACGACGTGGGCGGTGCTCCGGAGGTTTGGGTACAACGATCAATTGGAGATGTGCAAGGAGTATTTGCGGCCGCCATTGAAAATACCGCCGGGCAGCAGCACGGAGCTATCGCATCGCGGCCAGCAATTTCTGATAGCGGTCTTCGAGCGCTACGATCGCGACGGAGATGGTGCCTTATCGCCGGAGGAGCACAAAATGTTATTCAGCACTTGCCCATCGCCGCCGTGGTCCTACTCGACGGACATACGCAAATCGTGTCCAACCAACGACGACGGCTGGGTGACCCTGCACGGCTGGCTCTGCCGGTGGACTTTGATGACACTGACCGACGTGGTCAAGACTCTGGAGTATTTGGCCTATTTGGGCTTCAATGTGCACGAGAACGACAGCCAACTGGTGGCCATACATGTGACACGCGAGCGTCGCATTGATCTGGCGAAGCGGCAGAGCAGTCGCTCCGTCTACAAGTGCCATGTGATCGGACCCAAGGGGTCGGGCAAGACTGGACTGTGTCGCGGTTTTCTCATTGACGACATGAGCAAGCTGCTGGGCAAAGAGTTCAAGACCAATGTTGTTCACTGCATCAACTCGGTGCAGGTTTATGGCCAGGAGAAGCATTTAATATTGCGCGACATTGATGTGCGGCATGCGCTCGATCCGCTGCAGCCGCAGGAGGTTAATTGCGATGTCGCCTGCCTGGTGTACGATGCCTCCAATCCGCGCTCCTTTGAGTATGTGGCTCGCATTTACATTAAATACTTTGCGGAGAGCAAAATACCCGTCATGATTGTGGGCACCAAGTGTGATCTGGACGAGCGTCGTCAGGATTATCTCATGCAACCGTCGGAGTTCTGTGAGAAATACAAGCTGCTGCCGCCGCATCTGTTCAGCCTGAAGACCAACAAAAAGGAGCTCTATACAAAGCTGGCCACAATGGCAGCGTTTCCGTGAGTAATAAAATGCTTTTTCACATTGGGATTTCCGGTCATTCAAAGAGCACGCTCATGGGGCTTGGGTTGTTGTTACACTCTCATCTGTATATCTGGCATATATCTGGATTAATGGCTATATTATTATTATCTTCTCTTATTTCCCTTCCCACTTAACCACTACGTCTTTGTGTTGGTGTTCTTGTTTGTTTTGTTGATGTTTGTGCATCCTTAATGCTTTCGGACTCTGCTGCTGCTCGCCATGGACTTGCTGCCCCGTAGGCGCTTTCAAGCCGCCTGGATACTATTCTACAAGCACAGGTTGGTACAGCTGTGGGAATCGGCGTAAGTGTTACATATTTGACTTTAATATTTACTAATGCTGTCTGGGTTTCTTGTTATATATATTCTACATGCATTGCGACAGTAATTCCATCCCATATCTCCCGCACAAACACGCATAAACACACGCTTTATAAATGTGTTCTGTATGCAACAACAACATATTCCGAAAACCCCATTTGTATCTCCGAATTTGTATCTGAAACTAATCAACAATTTGTTTACAACATTCTCTTAGATATTTGCGACAATTTGGACTCATGACAGAGGATCCAAAGGTTTGGATAAAAGCCGGTCTGGGCGTGGCCGCCGCCACTCTCCTTGGCTTCATTGTGCTCAAGGCGATAAGTACAACTGGAACGCATTCACGTTGAGGATTTGGATAGCTGACACGAGCTCGTAACTGCCCAGGCAAACAGCGCAAAGCAGACACACACACACACACACATATATATATATAGATATACACACCAAATGTTCAGAAATTGATGTAACTTCGTGTATTTTCGTTTGACTTTTTTCCCTTCATTTTTGATCAAAATTTATTGTTTAAAATACCACGTGAAACTATTTCAATGGGACTTTTCGTGTCCAAATGAGAAACTAAACCGAGTCATGTACATAAGAAGCCATCCACAGGCACAGACAAACAGTTGAGTGAGGGTATTACAGGGCAGGGGACTGCACACACACACACACACACACTTCATACGTTGCATTTCTACAAGCATATATATATATTTATGTATACATATATATATACATGTGTTTATATATATATGTATGTATATATATGTATAATATAGACCTTAACGCTGTACTCTCTGGATAAGTCTTATTAGTTTACGTCCTATTTATGCCCATTAGTACTCATATATAGCTATCACGCATATAATGCTGTGATTATCATCGTATCTAACTAGCTGTTCTATGTACTATATATAAATGCATAGATTTGTGTATACATTTAATATATATATATAAAGGTACCCATTATTCATTTAGCGCCGACACTTGTAAATACGCGCAAAGTCCCAATGAGCAATAAAATCTATTTAAATATTTACTTTAATCTTAACGTACTCGTATTTATAAAACCTTGATAACATATAATATCCTTGTCCGTGTATATTGTTTAATTTTTGATTGCATTTACCGCCGCCGCTGTGGGCGACATGCAGTTGCCATCGGGATAACGCTTTTGGAACTGGGTAATCAGCTCGGGATCGACGAGGCGTATGCCGTCCAGCTGATTTCCCAACGTTATCCAGTTGGGCTGGATGTTGTGTGGCCGCCCGAAGAGCTCGATTTTTCGTGTGCCCGGACTGAGGCGCTCAATGATGCCGTAGATCTCGTCGGGCTTGTGGCTGGTGGCGCGCACTTCCGCCACAATGACATCGCAGTCGAGGCCACGATTTAGATTTGTGGGATTGCCCTTCATGCCAACCAGACAATGCTCCTTGCCGTGATTCAGCCAGTGACCGGTGCGTCCAGTGCGTATAATGCGCTGCAGCTGATTCGTTTTCACCCAAATCAGCTCGTCGACGCGCTCGTAGCCCCACAGTTTAAGGCAATCGCGACCCAGTTCCATGGCACGCCCGGTTACCCAGAGAAATATGAGACCTTCCTCCTGCAGCGCTGGTATGCCCAAGGCACGCATCTCGTCGTCCGACATGGTGCCATAGGGCAGCTCCATGTGTATGTCCCACGGAGGATCGGCCATAACGACAGCAAATTTGCCTAGCACAGTCATGTCCAGAAATCGTAGATCACACTGTATCCACTGGGGCGGATACAAAGTGCAGCTGGAGTCAACGCTGCGCTTCAGGCTGAGCTTGGTCTTTACATCCGTCGGCTTATTGGTATTAATGTGCGGCAGCGTGTCCACCTCATAATGGACGTACTTGCAGGTGGCCATGTGGAAGCAAGTGTTTAGGAAACTGCAATCGCCCAGGGATTCGTCCGTGTGCGACTGAATGATTTTCTTAAAGTGCAGCTTTGTGCATTTGTCCGAGTCGCCGGAGGTCTCGCTGTCGTCCGTCGACTCTTGCGATTCACCCTCACAGTTGTTAAGGGTATCGGCAATGATTTCACCATCTTCGGCATCCTCGGAACCCAACTTGACTAGCTTGCTGCTGGTGCTGCCAATGGACACGTCAGCGACAACAGAGCCGCGCAATTCCTTTTCCTCACGACGTTCGAGTTTTTTCTTGGCCGCCATTTCGTTTGCCACCTGCTGTGCCTTGAGGCACTCGACTTTGGTGCCATGTGAGCAAAACTCCATGACTTGTGCACCGCCATGAGATTTAAACTTTTCGGCCACGGAGCGCTCCTTGGCCGTCGGCTTAGTCAGCAGCTCGAGAATCTCCTCACCAACCTGTTTGCTCTGTTTCTCGCGCGTTGAGGGCAGGGAAAGCAGCATCATGATGTCATCAGAGGCATCCAGACTGGTGGACTCCTTGCGGGCGGCACCTGCATCGACTTTTAGCATTTTACATTGCAAACGCGCAGCATCGCTCATCTCATCCTGCCCAGACTCTACTGCTGGGTAATTGGTATTAGTTGGAATTAATATATACGACTTTCGGGCAGTTTCTTACACTTTCGCTTGACATCCTTCTCCTCATTCTGCTGGCAACTGTCGTTGACATCGTCATAGATCTCCAACAGCTCCTTGGTTTGCACGGAAATGACTTCGTAGCCCGCTTCCGTGCCAATTGTGACATTCCTTATGCCAATGGCGCCTTGATTGGCAAGCTTGCCCAATATGAAGTTGACCATTTCCATGGTTGGCGGTTTCTCCATGAGGCCACCGACTTTATTTACCACTTGTGTAGAGACAATTGGCAGCACCAGAGTGCTGGCACTGAGCGCCTGCAGTACTGCCTTTTGCACCTCGACATCGGCCTCAACTAAAACATTTATTTAACACATTTAATGGGCGCATCTACTTGTTGCCGGCTTGCCGCTTACCAAGCTCCTTTTTTGGATTGGATTGATCCTCCTGTTTGTCAGATAGTATGTCGAAGCGTTCCTTTTTACGCTTTTCCAGCTTTTCGCGTAATGTATTGCGCTTTGTCTTGAGCGACTTTATGTCCCAAGCATCGGCCATTATTTGTTAGTTTTATTTGCGTCGCCGGAAAAGTGTCTTTTGTTTACATCAAAAGCTATGATATGAAAGATGACTGAAGCCCTGGCTGCATCGGCGATAAGTAATCGATGAAATTTAGTGTTGGTAAATGCAGACAATACTCTGTTACGGCTGTGTAAGCTATAGTGATTTGTTGCCAATAAAACAGCTCTAGATTTAAATATTAGCCCTATTATTTGCACAACTAGCTGCAATTTAAGATAATGTTTAACTATATTTTGGTTTTTTACAAAGACTTGCATTCACAAAAATAAGCTTTTTATCATTTTGCCAAAAGTAGTTTGCAGTCACTGTTAACAACATTTCAGTAACTGTTAAGTTGTTGTTTGTTGCTGCCTGTGTGTTAGTATGCTGCTGTTAGTATGGGTTAATCTGAACGAGCAGCGGACGTTGTTGATGGTTCCGCGATTTTTTACTCAATAAAACGTGATAAAATTAAGTAAATAATAAATGAGAGAATATCTGTGTGAAAACATAAACGATGTGCACCCAAATTTAAATACAAAATTGTGGAAGGGGCTACTGCTGTTGTCGTGCTAAGGCGCTCTCCTACATTTGTAGGTATATATACACACACACACACACACACACACACACTCATATAGTCACTCATTGGGCCTTTTGTTTCCTTTTGTTTATGCGCGCGTAGGAGAGCATAAAATGCGCGAATAAACACACGAACAACCAAAACACGGACACAAATTTTGCAAAAAGCGCCAACGTTGTGTTAGTGTGTGTGCTCGTATGTGTAGTGTGTGTGTGTGTATTTGCGTGTGGGGGAGTGCGCACATTGTTATTGTTGCCGCTTGCGCTCTTGACGCGCCCCAGCAACGGGCTTGTTGCTTACTGAATTTCTCTCTTTCCCACTCTCTCGCTCACTCATTCTGGTTTCAGCATGCGAATTGAGTGACTGTGAGAAATTTATAACGCGACATTCGCACGGCTACTTTGGAGCATGACGGTTGTTTCTGTTTCTCCAACGGCATAGCACACAACGCGTACGTGCGGTTAGAGCTCTGAGCTGCTCCCCTAGACGCTCCAGCGAAATCAGTAAAATTCTGTAACAGATTCAAATTGGGTGCCAGCTAAAAGTGGTGTTATTGATTCTGTGTGTGTGTGTGTGTGTGAGTGTGAAATTTGCAGTTGCAGCAGCGCTTGGCGCTTGCTTTGCCTCTGTCTCTTCTCGTTTTGTGTGCACCGCCCCTCCCCGCCTGCTCGATTTCGTTTTGAATGCGTCGTGATTCTGTGTATACTACGAATAACACTTTGTTGACCGTTAAGGGCGAGCAGCACAGCAGGCAGCCAGCAGCTGGCGCGCCCCACAACAGCAGCAGCCGCCCAATCGCTGCAACGGCAAAGATTTAAAAAAAAAGTGCAAAAGAAATCTTGTATATACATACACACTGGATGTACGTAAAAAAAAAGTTTGCCACGCTCCAAACGCTACTTTCGAAAAAAAATATATATGAAATTCAGATACATAATACGAAACAACGTAAAATCTAATTTAACTGGTACTATATATTTTGCTAGATTCATAATGTGCCACAGAAATTAACAGCAAACACACAACATACAATAAACAACAATAAAAAACAACAACAAAAATAACAACAGCAATAACAACAAATTCACCATGAAGATGGTGGACAAATCGTCAAAATTGATGGATAAATTTGTCGCCAGTGGCAGCGGCGGCGGCTCAGCTTCAGCGGCAGCAGCGGCCAATGCAGCTGCCGCCAGCGCTGCATCAGCCACAGCGGCGGGCTCAGCCAGCGGCATCGGCGGCGGCGGGGGCTACGGCGCTGGCAGCAGCAATATGACAGGCAACGGACAGAAGCCGGTGCCTATGAAACTCTTCGCCGCCTGGGAAGTCGATCGAACGCCGCCCAATTGCATACCAAGGTGAGTGCAAGAACAACATTTACATAATGTGCAATTGATAAAGAGAGAGCCAAAAGAGAGCGAGAGAGAGATGGCAAAATATCGTTGCATTAAAAAAGGCAATGCCATAAAATATATAAACTACATATGTGTGTGTATAAAACAGGGCTGCAAACCCAACAAAAATTGTCGGTTCACGGATTGAACTTCGAACCAAATTCCTGACTTTAGGTTCGGTTCGCGCAACTGAAGACACTAATTTTGGTTCAATTATATTGTTTTTCATACTTTAAATTAAATAATTTCATGTTTTAATTTAATGCTAACATTTGCTTTGACATTAAATTGAACTGTTTACAGATTAGTTTTTTGCTTTCGACCTTGGCAGTTTTCTAACGAAACGAAATTCTGTAATTTCTTGGACATATCTTTTCTGCTCTAGGAGGACCACAAACTGGAAAGTTGTCCGCGGTTGGTAGCTTTTACAGTAGATGTCGGCAAAAGTATTTAATTGTCGGCACTTTGAAGACAACGA